GCGAGAGAGAGAGAGAGAGAGAGAGAGAGAGAGAGAGAGAGAGAGAGAGAGAGAGAGAACGACATACAGACAGACAGAGGACACAAAATAGTGGATGGTTTGGTGCATAAAAAAGCACCTATACTTCCATCTCTGCATTAACACCAATGCTTTCACATTAACTTTTCTACTCTTTTACTGTTTAAGAATTATTATGTTTTACGCATTGTTTTATACATTGTTTTACAAAAACATATCTTAATAAATATTTGAATTGTGTTTAGTTTTTGTTAATATTTTTAAAAATTTAGTTGACATTGAAGTAATATTTTAATTTATTTATTTCTGAGATAGATGAGAGAGAGAGAGAGACGGAACAAATAATGATCACAACACCTAAACTAAGTAATAATCTAGTGTTGCTTAGAAACTATGAAATAGCTGTCAATTTGACTTTTGTTGCCCCAACTATATTCCGCTCTTATATATCGATGCCTTTCTTATCAATTATGCCATAGAAATGAATGAATAATGTTTTTAAAACAATTGCCAAACACTATAAGCGTTATAATTATAGCTATAGTTATATAATAGCAACCGAGACAGCATTGAATTGCGAACCTTATTATGTGTTTATTTATTGTCAATACAGGATAACAAGCATAACGTATATCTTATTATCTATTGTTTTGAGCGTTACATTCATATATGATATGAAATGAACGATAAAAATAAAATTAAAAATGAATGCTTTTTATTGAATGAAATGATTACTAAAAAACCAAAACAATATAATTGAGGAAAGAATGTTTGCACCGAATATATGGTGTTATAAGTTATGTGAATGAGTGTTACAGCGATGGAAAGGCATGTGAGGGCAGACATAGGGTATACATAGGGTATGAGGCAATATGTGTGCAATTGTGGCCATAAAATTAGGCCTTTTATCGGATCCATAAGTTTGAAGCCATCTGTCAATCATAAAAATAGAAGAATGTATGGCTTCGAGGGATAGGGCTTTGATCACTGCATTGATCACTGCTTTCATCAAATCGTATAATAGAGTACAAAACGCTTCACTCAAAGGCACTGAAGGCGATACTGATTATCCCAAACAAAAGCATTTTTGAATAATAAACCACTTCTATATATAAATTGCATTTACAAACGCATGAATTAAATTAATCACAATCAATATAATATCATAATTCCCTCATGTCTACTACATATGCCTATGCCTTACGTCTAACCCAACAATAAATTTATAATAAATAGATTAGACATCGAGTTTAGGCTCTGTTTCCACAATACGTTTCGTTTTTATCAATTATTCAACTCTTGGAATAGGAATCAAATAATTGAATCAAAAAATATAAGAGAAGAGTTCATCAAAACTTCACTACAATATTAGAGGTTTGAATTAATTTTAACCAAACTTTGCTGATATTCGCATCAACTTAAGAGCACGAGAGAGAGAGAGAGAGAGAGAGTGGTGAGGCCTGAAGTCTAAATAGCACTTATATTATCATGATTTTATTTTTTAAAAAGTTCTCTCTCTCTCTCTCTCTCTCGGCCTGTCTTTCCAACAAATTACTCTCTTATCGCAACAAAAGCCCACTTTTTATTTACTGCCTTTTCCTGTGTGTCATATCTAAACTATGCGACAAAAACACTACAGAATTGAGAGAAACATTATTTTGTGTTATATAAAAGAAGTTATTATTAATTTAACTAATATTTGTCTTCAAAACTTGTTTATGTTTTCAAATTAATTTATATAGTATTCTATATTATAGCGCATACATTATATTAGTCCCTTCTATTCCTTATATTCATGTCATATATAAATGAGAGAGAGAGAGAGAGAGAGAGAGAGAGAGATTGGTGAGGCCTTAAGGCTTTGGCGGACTCTTTCCGGCTTATTGTTTGACTCTCTGGGAGGTTCTGCAGTCACTACAGACTCTACAGACTTAGAGAATATAAAAGTATATTCATATAAAAAACTACAACAACTGAGAGCTGTTGTGCTGTTGAGACTAACACAAGACTAACACAAATTGGCATCAATTGCATTGAATTGCATTCTAAAGTGAATAGAAATTTGAGCAAAACGTTTGAATGCAATGAATGCTATGAACTGCCAGTAAAATGCTTTTAACTCTTGAGGAATAGACAGCAAAACATAAGTAAATTGCATCACATATAACGCCCACATCTATTTGATTGTATGAACCAAATGGACAGTACTGTTAATGTCGTCAATAACTCATCACTTGAAGTAATTTAATGGACAGAAGTTGTCACTGAAAATAAAAGCTCAATGAATGCCGGAAACGTCGTGTTTAGCCAAAGACTTCAATAAAACACATATTAATATGAGTTACAATCGTATGAAAAGTCAATTTGTTATCTAATCAACAGTTTTAACATGAATTCCAGTTCAGAATCTCTATTCAATTGAAATTTTTGAATACAAATGATTATTATTTTTCAACAATTCATTCAATTCATTGAATACTTCATTCATTGAAAACATTATTAAATATAATTCTCGTTTATATCGCAAAATTGATTATCAAACGCAAACCCAAAGACATTATGCTTTATGAATATTAAACACTTTAAAGAATTGAATTTTTAAAATTGATTTTTTCTGCGATAATATTTATGAAAAGAGCAGTTAATTCTCATTTCCAGAGGAGAGGAGTTAATGAATGGATGTGTGAATTGAAATTATCGTAAAATTGAAATAAAGCCGTAAAAGTGGTTGTCATAAAAAGGGTGTGCAATCAAGACTTATGGCTCTGTTGTGTATGAAATGATAGAAAATAGGCGAAGAAAAGAGCAAAAATCCTGTTTAAAAGACGTGAGAATTCATCGTTGGATGCAATGAGACACGGCTTTGACTGCACTGTTATATCCAGTCATTCAATAATTGCATAAACCTATGGGTAATCCTGTTTTGCATTTTTTCAATAATACAGAATTAGATCCGCATTTTGTTTCATACATTACAAACATTAGACCAAAAGTAAAGGCCTTTTTATGCTTTTCCCACAGAAGCGACTATAACTATAATCATTAGTTAGTGACAGAGCCCTCACCATTGCCATCATTATTGGGATTGTGTTTGCATTTGAATCATATATACATCCGTCTAATAGGTGTAAGAGTGGGTTCACCTGACGTTTGTATTGATAGATGCGGTCGTGCGACAGGAAATCCAATATTAATGCTAAAAAGCAATGCATTTCCTGCTCAACACGTGTTTCATATATTACCTCAAGTATTGAACCTTTTTTGTGTGCAATTCTGATGATATGAATTGTCGTATGAATTATTACCTTATATTTGGGTTTATAAGGATAGGAGTGTAGAGAGTATTACTGTTAATAATGTGTCCGATTAGTGAATATTCTCTCTCTCTCTCTCTCTCTCTCTCTCTCTCTCTCTATCGTCGCTAGTTTTCATACCATATATAAAGTGTATCCTAAATGTTAGGTCGCGTCTCATTAAACAAAGTAATAGAAATTCTGTTATTCTGTTGTTATGATTACGATTGCAATACAATTCATGGGATTGTAATTATTTTTAGGTCGATATATAGATATATCAATTGAGATAATGTTATCGGAGGTCAAAGCGAAAGGTGAATAATATGAAAGAGGAAGGACTCACCTCATATGATAGCACATCTCAACACATACTGGCCTTATTGTCTCATGTGATTGCATTTCATATCACACACACAATGATAAGCAAATGACTTAAAACCTATAAATAACTTAAATTGTTGTTAGAAATTGAAATAAATTGATCGCAAGCTTAGCTATGAATAAGCGAAACAACATTTGAATTCATATGATTTTAATGGAGAAATAGTAAAACAGATAATGACCGCAAAGAACTGGCGTTGATATGGATATCACGGTCTAATTGATAGCTATGTTGTGTGTTTAGGCACTAATCAACAGTTAATACCCGATCGCATATCTCATGTCTACTTACTATCGGATATATTTATTGAACTTTTATTTGAATGATAAGAAAAATTTTGTACAAATTATTTGAAATGAAAAAAAACTTTATTTAATTATAATTCATAATTAAATGACAAAATCGATTATTAATTAATTAATAATAATAATTAGACATAATTGTACTTCATGTACAATATTAGTACATATGAATCAATAGTCGATTTACACAATAGTATAATACAGTGTTTTTGTGTTAACTGTTAACAAGAGCGGCACATATATGCAGGTGTCTCACAGCTATAGGCGTTCCGGGTTTCACACGCATCGGCTCTCTTTCTCTCTCTCTCTCTCGCTATGGCATAGGCTTTGTTCCAGTGTTTCATTTTTATTAAGAAAATTGCTTTATTGAAACGCAGGTGGAGTGGACTTCCAGTCAGTATAGGTTAGGGGACAGTCACTAATGGCTATGGATGGCAATGGCTATGAATTTATATCATATCATATGTATATATATACAAGTGTACGGTCTATGAGGTCTATGCCGAGTGATATAGCGAGGAGTGATGATAGTATGAGGTATCGTTAGCCATAGGCGTATGACCGGGTGCTATGGGTGAGAGGGGAGGGTAGGCTCCGTACTGCATCTCATAGAGTTTCATATCTGCCTTATTCTCACTCGCAATTATGCTGGAGATGGAGAACGGGTGGTCGCGAGTGGAGCTATAATGGGGATCAGCTTTCAACTGACCTGCGAGAAGCATACTTTGGTGGTGCGAGAGTACACCAGTCCCGGAGCCGTAGAGGCCGGCGTGCATGTGGTGCTCCATCTGCGACGGGTGGTGATGAGCCGATTGGTCTAACTTTGAACAGTCGTCGCCGATGTTTGGGTTGACGTGTCGGTGATGGTCGAGATGGTGATGGTGTGGATGGTGTGAATACGGGTCAGTCATCGCGCCATTCATTTGAGACGGACTCACGCCTCCGCTGCCAGCGTTCTGGTGGCTGTTGTCGATAGCATTCTTAGCGGATCCGCCCATAGACTGGTGACTATTGCTGTTACCATTGCTCGAACCGGAACTGTTGGTCGACTTCTGGCTCTGGCGGACGCCGTCTTTCTTGACGTCACATTTGAATCGTTTTTGTCGTCTAAGATAACAGCCATTTTCAAACATATTACCCGAATCGGGATGTAGTGTCCAAAAGCTCCCTTTTCCCGGTTTGTCGGGAGTTCGCGGGACTTTCAGAAAACAGTCATTAAAACTAAGCGAATGTCGGATCGAGTTTTGCCATCGCTGTTGGTTTTGACGATAGTATGGGAACAAATCCATTATGAACTGATAGATCTCACTTAAGGTTAACATTCTTGAGGGGCAGTTCTGTATAGCCATCGTTATCAATGAGATGTACGAATAGGGAGGCTTCGCGTGGGTATAGCTTCGGCGGTAAGACTTGTCAGCTCTGGCTCTCTGGAGGAGTGCGTTCGCACCCGAACTCATCTGTTCCGACGATGAAGACGACCCGAACTCGCGGCCCGACACCAAACCACCGTTCATTGAGGTCATGGAACCCATACATGTGGGCGAAGTCATGCCATTCATGCCGTGCGAGTTCAACGAGTTCATCGACGACAACGGCGTGACAGTGCTTCCGGCCGCCGGTGACATACACGGCCCGCCAGTGGGGCCGCCGCCCGACCCGGGAATGCCGGACATACCTGAAGGTGTGGGCGCCGTAACACTGGTACCCATTGGAACCGCGTTGGATGCGATCATATTGGATGTGAATGACTGGCCCGCCGGTGAATAGCCCGACATATTCATGCCCGACATGGAGGACATGGTGTAAGACATGGATGGACTGATCGACGAACTCATGTTCGTGTAGTTCGGGGCAGAGATCATAAAATTTGATGAATCTTGATATGACTTGTGTGTCAACATTTCAGTCACTGTTCAAATGTTTTTTAATATTAAAAAATGTTCAAAATTTATGCATTAATTCACACAATATTTCTAATCAAACAACAGGTAAAGTATTTGCGAAATATAAACGATTTAATTGTTTATAAACTGATATATTCTGTTAACTTTTTTTACGACAAGAACTTATTGTTGTTATACTTATAATAGTATTTCAATCATTGAAATCACTTCTTGTGAAGCATTGAGTGATAAATAGAGAGGAAAAGTACGAGTCATACGAGACATACGAGGCATTAAACCTCTTTGAAATATGCTATGAGAGCGTTGTGAGACTCAGATCCAGTGTTTCACAGCACACAGCCTGAGCTGAGGTGGACGGGTATGTGAGCTCCTCCTCAAACCAGTATCAGATCGATGTCTGTGACGACAACACACACCAGAGCCAAGTGGCACACAATAGGGAAGGAGTGGTAGAGTGTGTGGTGGGAGGGATGCGGACAAAGCCGTACTTAAAATAATATTATTCACTAGTTTTTTACTAACTTTTACGACGTTTTGCCTTATTTTCTAACGAAAGAAATTCTGCAATAGTTTGCAATACATGTGATATTACAGTGTATTACTGTATTATACGATAGTTTCCACAATACATAGAGTATAAGAGCGCCGTTCGGTGAGGTCTGTGTCGATGTGACAATCACTCGCTATATACTATATATACCCGACTAATGTTATATACCATTCCCTTAACATTTGTCCCTCTTTTTGACTCTTTTTCTGCACAGAATATACGCTATAGTGTTTGTATTGCACTATAGGTGCACATCTCATCCTAACCATCATTTCCTGTCTCTATCACTAATACTTGATATCTGTTTAATAATTCAATTCCAATGAAAGCGCGTATTTCTTAACTATAATCATAACTATTACTAAAAAAACACTAACTCTTTATAACTATTTAAATATAAAATGAATACAGAATTAAACAGTGGATTATATTTGAAAGAAGAAGAAATAGTTTGTAATGACGGCCTCTCTCTCTCTCTCTCTCTCTCTCTATTGAATCAATAGAAACAGAAATGAAATGTATGTTAACATTAAAGACATTTGATTGATTCAATCCACACATTCAGTTAAGTCAATAAATTACAGAACGAACAGCACATACACTACAAGTGTATATAGAATTTGCATTCGTCTAATAATTACAAAAAATGTTTTACTCATAAATATATTAACACTAAAAATAATTTCTTTAGTTAAAAAAACTGAATAAATAAATAACAAAAATATAAATATTTAGAATAAAAATTATATTTGTTAAGCGATTTAGATATACTTTACATTGTATTGTTTGAATGGTAAGCATTAAATTAAATGTTGACAGCAATAGTGTATATAATTCTTACCGTTTATTTTGGCTCTCAATTCAAGTTTGTGTAGAATTTTTGAGCTAATGTTTAGATTTGAAGTAATTTTAACAATTAATTACACAAATAGACAAAAAACACAACTAATTAACTTTAACTCACATTTATTAAGGGGTAAACAAATATGAGAATTAATAATGAAAAGCACTTATATTAGTATTTATGAACAAAAAAATGAAGGTTTATTCTGGAGATAAAATCGGTTGTATATCTCGGTATAGACTATACTCTAACAGTTGTAATGATTGGAAGAGTTTGGTGTGGAGTCAGTGGTGTTGACGGCAACAAAACATCACATATACTGTATCTGTTTGTGTGGATTGTATTGCAGTTCATTGTCGCCTATTGTGAAGCAGTCATTGCAGTCACTGTGCGGTTATTGTTAGGTATAAATTGAGAACTTGTGATAAACAATTCATGAGACTAATTGTGCACACAGTTACCAGTGCTTAGCGCCGCTGATAACTGGCCCATAACACCAAACCATACTATAAGCCACAATACATCGCACCCACAATACAACACCTTATCAGTTGTTGTCGCTTCCAAATGGCGTCCCTTTCCTTTTCGACCATATCTTTACTAATCAACTATTTTATCATTACTTTAGGACTTTGGACATCACTTGTAGTCGACTCATGCATGCATTGTACTCAACACAACAGCCACTACCATATCTACCATACAATATATCGACAACTATCAGCTTTATTGTTAACTTTAAACTCATAGAGTTTTCCTAAACTTAAGAATTTTATATTTTAATATTTGTTTCCATATTTTTGCCGAAAAATACAAGAATTAGTGATAGAGTTGGTGGAGAAGGAGAAAAATTGATGTCTGATAAGACACATGTGTATGACTTGCTATGAAATACCATACAATGCAATGATAAGGACAACAAACTGGTGATACTTTACAATTGTCTTGTTTATTAAGAAATCACATTCTATTCTCATGGGTTCAATAGATTTCAATGTTATTGCAATGCATTAGTTGTTTGTTCGCAGCGATTAAAGTAGAGATAAAATGTTTAGTTGAGCTCAGATTATGGCTAAAATTGGTTAGTATGAGTCACATGTGTTGTCCACCCAAACACTACTGGCCATGATTTGCACCTGCATTCCAGTCCATATGCAGTCATATACACATACATGAGCTGTTCATCAAAGAATCAGCAGTTTTGGCATCTCATCGATGGCTATACTCTATGGAAAGCAACAGAACAACTGAAATACAAGCCCTCATAATATCGTTAACTCTAACTGCAGGTACACTACAGTAACGCCAGTTTTCGCGAGTCTCTACTAAACGCGACAAATTGGACCAAAACTATGAGCCTTTAATAGCGCGGTCGCCGGCTTCACATGAAAGCCGACACCCGGGGAGGTCTGCCATCCCTACCACACCAGTGACGGCTCTTTCCTATCATTCACACCAGTCCTGTACTCCCAACTCAAATATCGCAACAATCTATCACTTGTTAGAAACTGATCATATCGTTGACCGCAAACTATTAATTAATTGTCTATAATTAAAGAGATATTCACAAAAATACCAAGATTCAGTTATAATTATAATTAAGTTAATTGTGAAGTCAATTATATTTTATAAATTAAAAATAGGATTCTTTATAAAATAGCATTTTTATGTCATTTATATCTATTGTATAAAAAGTAAAAGTGTGGCAAAAGTGAAGAGATGTCTTAATAGAGCTGAAACAGGGCTTTAGTGAGCAAAGAAATGCCGCAAAATTATTGGCCGTCAATAAAATTGAGCCGAAGGTCAGTTCATTTTATGATTATATTATCCATGAGATACAAAAAAGAAGAAACGACTCAACACTCTATGGTTTTATTCAATATTCAACTCAATTGTATAGCATTTGAGACCCATTTGATGTGTGTTTGAATGGATTGGACGCACGAATACATGAAATTGAATGAATGAATTGTTTTAAATCAGTTTTTAGTAAATTTAGTCTTTAATGTAAAGGTTTTGTCTATAATTTGAATTCAAACATATCTCTCCTGTAATACAAACACAACAAACAGAGCTTAAGGTCAACATTAGCTTATGTGAAGTTGGAGTCCGTTTATATTATACACAACTCTATGGACTCAATGCTTGTGTTTAACTGCTGAGCAAATTTGCTTCACTATATTTATAGATCCATCGAATTATATCTGTAGGTAAATAGGACTGAGCAGAATGAGCAGGTACATTTATGTACATTTATATATATTGTATACACAATATATTGTCAATATTATTATTGAATGCCAATATAGCAGTGCATAGGACACAGACAAATGTCGTATAAAAGCTTAGACTCAACAGACACTCATCTCATACCCAATACTGTATGTGAAACTCAACATTCAATTCACTCCATCATCATATCATTGAATTTGTTTTTACCTCAAAATCTATTAAAATACTACTTTTCTGTACACAAAGTATACGTTTATTAAATACAATGTTAAGTACTCACTAAAAACCTTTGTCTCAATTTTTCATATTATAATAACGATGTAACAAAAGTACTTTAATCTATGTATTAAGCTTTCGGTGATTTTAAACAGACACTCATCTCATACCCAATACTGTATGTGAAACTCAACATTCAATTCACTCCATCATCATATCATTGAATTTGTTTTTACCTCAAAATCTATTAAAATACTACTTTTCTGTACACAAAGTAAGGCAACCGCGGGGATGCTTTTTGGATGCTTTTTTCATAGTTTTGAACACAATAATGACTATTACAACTATTTGTTCATTTTAAAGCATGCGTTAAATACTAAATGTTATGATTTTTTTTTTACTAATTCATGGCTTTTATTTAGTCTGCATATTAAATGACTCATATTGTGGTTGCTCTAACACAAAGTATACGTTTATTAAATACAATGTTAAGTACTCACTAAAAACCTTTGTCTCAATTTTTCATATTATAATAACGATGTAACAAAAGTACTTTAATCTATGTATTAAGCTTTCGGTGATTTTTTAAGATTCAACTCTTAAATCCAGTATTTGTATAGAATTTTGTGTCAAAATATTTAAAGTTTTTAATCCTCTTTTAAAGAATATATCTTTCGGTATATCTTTGACAAAGAAAACTATATTATGACAGAAGTTATATGTGTTATACAGAAGGGAAACATTGTATATGAAAGTCAACATTCGCTGCTTTGCGTTGTAAACCATAAGCGGTATATTAAAAGTGGATCTCTTTTTGGATGTCATCTCTTATGTCGGTATAAAACTAATGTCATTTTGTCGACACTTCTGCACGCAATCGCTTCTCATATGCTCTCTATTATTGATATTCAATTTGATTTCATAAATATTTCACTTTTATTATATGAAAAATAGATTACGTTTTTTGTAATATTTAATAAAATGTTTAATTTGATTAGATTTTTGTTAAGTAGAGTCAAATATTGATCGAAATAAAGCGTTAATATTACGAGTTTTGACTGAATTGAACACAAAATAGTGTTTTACATA